TTTATTTGTTTATTTTTTTGAGTCAGAGTCTCACTCTGTTGCCCAGGCTGGAATGTAGTGGCAAACTTCACAGCCACCCCAGGGTCAACCTGCTGGGCTCTGACGATCCTTCCACCTCAGCCTTCCAAGTAGTCAGAACTACAGGCATGCACTACCGCACCCAGCTAATTTTTTTATATATTGTAGAGATGATGTCTCACCAAGTTGCCCAGGCTTGTCTTGAACACCTGGGCTCAGGCAATCCTATTACCTCAGCCTCCCAAAGTGCTGGGATTACAGACTTGAGCCATCGCGCCCAGCCTAAATTTATTTTCCTTTTTGTTTTTTGATTGTTCACTGTTTTTGTTTCTCTTTTCTTTTTCCTGCCTCCTATGGATTTGAATATTTTTTAGAATTCCATTTTGATTTGTTTATCGTGTTTTTGAGTATATCTCCTTATATATCTTTTTTAGTGGCTGGGCTAGGGATTACATGATATATACATTGATTATTACAGTCTGGTGGTTTCAACATATGACCAGTTTGAGTGAAATAAAGGACTTTTACCTACCTTTGCATTAATTGCCTGCATACATTTAGAAGTACACTAGATGGTTTTAGAATTTTTGCCTCAACTGACAAACATAATTTAGGAATTTCAAGAGAAGCCTACTGCTCTTATTGATATTTTGTATAATTTTGTTTTTCCTCCTTTATGTTTTAAGACTCCTTTAATCTTTTTCTTTCTGTTTAGAAATTTGAACCATTATTTTAGGTTAAGTATACTGGCAACAAATTTTCTTAGTTTTCCATCATTTGAGAATGTCTTGATTTCTCCTTCATTTTCTGAAGAACATTGTCACTAGATGCAGTTTTGGGGTTGATTGTTCTTTTTTTCTTTAGTTCTTGAAATATTGTGTGCTGTTTTCTTCTGGCCTCCGTGATTTCTGATGAGAAACTCTGTCACCCCAATTCCTGGCTGATTTTTTTAGTTATTATAGAGACGAGGTCTCGCCATGTTGCTTAGGCTGGTCTCAAACCCATGAGCTCAGGCAGTTCTCTTGCCTCTGCCTCCCAAAGTGCTGTGATTACAGGCGTGAGCCACTGCACCCAGCCTGTAATGTTTTTTGATGTAGATTTCATTGGGTTTATGCTGTTTAGGGTTCATTCAACTTCTTGAATCTGTAAGTTTATATCTTTTGCCAAATTTGGTGAGTTTTCAGCCATTATTTTTTCAAGAACTTTTACTACCCTGCTTTCTTTTTCCTCTTCTTCTAGGAGTCTGACACAAGTGTTAGCTGTTTTGTTTTAGTCCTTCAGGACTCTGGTACTGTTAATTTTTTTCATTGTATTCTTCTCTGTTATTCAGATTGAATAATTTTATTTTCTGTCTTCCAATTCACTGATTTCTCTGTCCCCTCCATATTACTCTTTATTTTATCCATTGAGTGTATGTTTTATTTAAAATTTCCATTTGATTCTTGATGTCTTCTGTTTATTTGCTGAGACCTTTCTATTTTTCATTTGTTTTATGTGTGTTCATAATTGCTCACTAAAACATTTACAGTGAGCTGTTTGAAATTATATTTTGACCTGGACATTTTTTGTATCATGTTATGATGCTCTAGATATTATTTAAAGCTCTTTTAGCTGGCTCCTGTTGACAGTGCTCCATCGGGGAAGTGCCAGGAGGGTGATACCTCATTACTGCCAAGTGGAAGTAGAAATTCATGTTCCTCACTCTGACACTGGCAATGGGACGGGGAGTTCCTAGTTACTGTTAGGTGGGTTAGGAAACTTGCTCCCCACTGGGCTTCCATTGATATCTCTTTGGCTGGGAGAGACTAGAGTGCTTCATTACTGCTCCCCTTGGCCTCCACTGACATCATAGGAGAGGGGTATGTGGCCTAATTTTCATGAGGCAGTAATACAAGTTCTGAATCTTGACTAGGCCTCCTTTGATGTCACCAGGAGGAAAGAGACATGGCTATCTAATCATTGTCAACTGATGGAAGCCAGGCTCCCTGTTTCTACTGATACTTGAGAGAGAGAGGACTTACTTCCTGGAAGGGATGAAAGTCTCCTGCTCCCTAATCAGCCTCCCCTGACACCACTCTGGTAGAAATGTTAGAGTGTCTCATCATAAGCCACTGAGTGTGGAAGACTAGGCTTTCCCTGTGGCCTTTGCTGATGTGGGTGGGGATAAGAGCCACCATTTTTTCTGAGATGTTTACTTGGAATACAATGGTTATTATCTAAAGCTTTCTGTCTTGTAGGCTGCTGCTTTCCTGGTCCTTTGGCTAAAGAGGCCAGACTTTGGGGGGGCTTTGTTTTTACTGACCCCATTGGCATTTGCAAGTTTCCAACTTCTTTAGCTTCAAGTCTGCAGGATACAACACACACACACACACACACACACACACACACACACACACACAAGAATCTACCTGTGTTGTTTCTGAGGTCCCAGAGTCTGCAGGATACCACACACACACACACACACACACACACACACACACACACACACACACACACACACACACAAGAATCTACCCGTGTTGTTTCTGAGGTCCCAGAGTCTGCAGGATACCACACACACACACACACACACACACACACACACACACACACACACACACACACAAGAATCTACCCGTGTTGTTTCTGAGGTCCCAGAGTCTACAGGATACAACACACACACACACACACACACACGAGAATCTACCTGTGTTGTTTCTGAGGTCCCAGAGTCCCTAACCAGTTTGCCTTCTTTCCACCTTTCAGAGTCTTCTTGTGTTTGTTTTATAATGCCCAGGGGTTTTAATTGTACTTATGAGAACAGTATGAAAAAGCACATCTGCTCCATCTTCCTGGAAGCACAAGTCCTAAACAACCTTATCACATGCTATACTTATAGAGCCCTCTCTTTCTTTGGCTGGTTAATGGTATTTTGTAGTGACCATAAAGATGCATCTTGCCTCAGAAGCATGACTGGTTTTATAACTAGCACAGTCACTGATAGATTCAATGCATGTTTATTGAATGAATATCTACCGATTAATTAGGATCATAACTGCTAAGTTTCCAAATTATAAATATGAAGTTGATAATTAGAAGGTGATTAAATAGGTTTGGATTTCTATGTAGTTAAGTGTTTAGAGGGTATGGAGTCAGTGTTTCATGAGTTAAATTAGCTAAAGGGAACTGTAATGTATAGTATCTTTTTAAAAAAAAAACAAAACAGGATTTATTAAGAGGATAGAAAAGCTCCCACAGTGAGAAGGGACTCAAGGAGTTGCCCAATGTATAGTATCTTACCTGAAAAATAATGATAATAGTCACAGCAATATCTGAAAAATTGTGACTTTTAATTAATTCTTGGTGTTTTACAGGAAGTTTACATATATATGACTTTTATAAAGTTGTAAAATAAAGTAGAAATAAAGCACATTCTTGTTAACTTTTAAGTGCTTATGGCACACTAGTTGTTTGAATTTTGGGCTAACTTAAAACCTCTACCGGATTGTTCTGTGTTACCACTTAGCTGTAGTTATGAAGGAATTTTAGTAGAAAATAAAAAAGGTAGTTTATATCCTGTTGCTACCAGATTCTCAAAAGTATAGACAAGTATACTTTTTTTTTTTTGAGTTGGAGTCTCACTCTGTCGCCAGACTGGAGTGCACCACTCCTGGCCACCGCAGCCTCTACCTGCTGGGCTCCGGCGATCCTTCCGCCTCAGCCTTCCAAGTAGCTGGAACGACAGGCG